TAAATAAATAAATAAATAAATAAATAAATAAATAAATAAATAAATAAATAAATAAATAAATAAATAAATAAATAAATAAATAAATAAATAAATAAATAAATATTAGATCTAAAAAATCAATTAATTAGATGTTTCATGTCTAGTGTCCCAAGGCAGCGTTCTTGGTATGCATGACTCAGTACTTCTTGTGTAATCAGCAATTGATGTTAGATAATGATAGCAAGCCCTAGACTGGGATAAATCATTTGACGTGTATGTACGAATGTGGATTTATAGACTCGAATCCGAAACTCCACTTTAAATAAATTGAATTAGAGCTGCCACTCTAATGTGTTGCTTGTTTTGGCGACTTGCTTGTATTCCCCTAAAACAAAATGTTTATTCCGGGAAGGTATACTAACAATACACGTTACCATTCACAATGATGCAGTATGTTGGCGTGACTAACGTAGTATCTCATTTTTATTACTTCACTACTTATTACTACGGCAATCGATATAGGTTTTCCCCATTGATACCTAAACTAAAACTCCGAAATTAGTTGTTTCCATAATGTTGTAAACAATTAAACAATTAGGGTTAGGTATGATTTGTCGATTTGAGGGACATCATAACGGAGTTTATGTATATTTTTATTCCTGTGCAAAATGTAGTATTAACACTGATTCATGTCCCCGAAGTAATAACACCGCGTGTCATCGCAATGTATATTGGGTATTCGAGAAACGATGAATAAACGCATGTGCATATTATAAGCTGTGCTTCATTACGCAATCCCTGTCACATCAATTATAACATCAATTAGTGGTTTCCGTATTATGGTACATACAGAGATGGCGGTTAGATGTTATAACGATGATTTCAAGTGGGGCTACGTTGTAATGAATTTGCATGCTGATTACTTTCTTTTTTGCAGGTACCTTGTTGCCAAACTGTGCGAATGACTCTGATTGTAATTTTCAAGGATCTTGTGTAGATGGATTCTGCCAGTGCGATGTGGGTTACCATGGAAACTTTTGTCAACACTACGAATATCACGGTAATCATATGACCTTTGCTCTCTCTTCGTCGTTTACTTGACGGACTAAACAGTTGTAAAACAGATGTTTACATTCCATGTTGCTATGACGTCATGAAGTCTCATAGGTTACTATAGCCATGTTTATAGGATTGAGGTTGTTTTGGTTGAAATTGTGGTGACATTGTTTCAATCATTTTATTTTATTTTGTTTGTTTGTTGGTTTACCGTATCATATTTCAAGAACCCGAGACATTCTGGTCAACCCGGAACTTTACATATATGACCGAAAAATGAACAATGCAGTCATCAAAATCAGAAATAATGTCATGAAGTAAGGAAACATGAAAAACAAATTTGGCAAACAATTCAAAACGATTCAAAATCTGAGATATTGTCAAAACACAAATAAATACGAAAGAATGAAATTAAAAACAATATTCCGAGATATTGTCATAAAATGAACCCTCTGCGAGAAGAGCTGGACTTGCGTGATACTATACAGGATGAAGAGCAAAATGAAAAGTTGACGACGACGGAAAATCAATAATAAGATTAAATCCGCTTAACCTTGCTAACCTTCCCAGGCGATATCCCAAATGAATGTGTCAGTAGACGGCGGCTGACTATGAGGCATGTGCACAAACAACTGCACAATGTTTGTTTTGATGCATTGCGAGCCGTAAATTGCCTCAAGCACGTCAACAAAACAACTAAAAAGAGGATATATCATTGTTTCCTTGGTTACTGTACGATACATTGTTCCCACAATGGTATTCAATTACCGTACATACATGAGAAATGTGTTATGCCCGTTGTTGAGCCCCTCGGGTGTCAGAGTACAGAAAGCTACAAATCGTGTTATGCTCGCAGTAGACAACAGGGAACATGTCAGTGTCAGCCTGGGGCAAGCCATCTATATTTCAAATGGACGCAGTATAATATATCACGGTGAAATATCCGTCTGAACAATGTCAAATGAGTATATATGTAAATATACCGTGTATTGGCAGATGTGTAATTACATGTAGTTTTTACATTGCAGTGATCAATCATGTCGCCCTACTGTGTGCATTATGTAACTATGTAATGTATGTAACTGATATGTACTACATTTTGCAATATGATGCAAAAGATGCAATGTGTACGAGAACATGTAATATTCAGTATTATTATACATCTGTGACCGTAACGCCATAAGTTACAGCGTGCCGTAATTTTGCGGTATCTTACGGGGTATTTTCATCCTACCATAAAAGGAAATGCGAATTCTAAATATGGAATTATTACGCGCGTAAGCGTCCTCTAGACGCTGCGCGTCGGTCGATACTATACTACCGATAACTTTATATTATTGTATGACACGGTATTTTGACAGATATTTTCGACTATGCTTTTTCATCGGCTAAAATCGCTGTTCCTGTAGCGCTCATCTGGGTAATCGTTCGATGAAACAATACGACTACGCATGCGCACTAGCTATTTTGGGTACGCACAATAGCAATCACTGGACATGCGTATTAGAGATTTTTCATCTGGCAAACACTGTTGTGTCTCCTGTAAACGCAACATTTTTAGTTTATGGTAAATCATAATCTGATTTGATGTAGAGCATTGATTCAGAAGCATACAATATCGGACAAGATTATTAAAAAATATATTCCGCCCATATAGCGTCTTTAAAGTCTCAATATAAAATTACATACGACTACATCTGGTATTGCAGAATTTATTTGCATCTTATTACAACACAACGCCGTGGTAACGAGCGTCACTAAGGGCAGTAAATCAAGAATCGGACAAATAAAATATATAGATAACAGACTCCCAGTCGTGTTGCTTGCTCGGTTAATATGACGGAATCCGGTGAACATTTTTATATGGGCCGGATACAGATTTGGCAATTCGTGTTGTCATGGGAATGCTGGCCGTTTATTTCATACATTGAACATGGAATTGATTGTTCATCAATTGTGTTTTTTTTTTTCAGATATCAGCTCAAATTGGTCTGACGTTGAAGTGGATTACGACAACTATACCTCACGAGTGATAGTAGTAGCAGCAGTTGTATCAACGTTATCGCTCATCGGAGTGTGTCTTTGTTGTGTGTGCGTTGCAATGAAAAGCCAACCACGGGGAGATCGTCCTCCGAACACAGTTGTCACAGAGGGAGAACGAAGAAATGTACCGAGTATGTTTAATATTTACACCTATAAGTCCATTTTTTAATTGGGTGCCTGTTGTTGGAATGAGTGCTCTCTGTATTACAATCCATCGGACGTTCTTATTTGTCGTCATGGGGTCTATTGCAGTGGCTCAATGACGAGATACTACTTAGAGAAGCATACATGTCAATTCTAAATACAGCGTGCGTGTCCATAACTGTACTGCAAGAATTACTATAGGTTTGACACTAAGACTAATTATTACGGTAGAAATTGAGCCAAAACTAAATTATTTTCATCATCTACTTTTTTGTTCAAGTCAATAAACACTCAAAACAATGGCTTTTTCGAGATGTTTCAATTTTGTAACTTTGGTTTGTTTTGTCATTTTCAGGGTACGCATATCGGCCATCGTGGTATGGGCCATTTGAAAACCGCCGTCTTTCCAGCATATCTGATTCATTGGTGCTTCCAGACGGTCGACGAGTTCATATACCGAGTTACCCAGACGGGAACAGTAATGATGGAGATTCCTACTCGCTCTCGCAATATCGACCGAATCCCGACCAGCCGCCGGATTATAGCAGACTGTCCCTGCACCGTCAGAACAGCGCGGCTAGCAGTGTGCCGGAAACACCGCCGCCAACGTACGAGGCTGCCTTGAATCTACGATTCAAATTCAAGGACGGGGATATTTCTCAAATTCAACCACTCGAAGAGGTGCCTGAAGATGATGAAGTGTTTTTACCTTCAGACGCCTCCCGCGAGATTAGGACGAGAGTTGAAACTGATGTATGATGACGTCGTATATACGGTAGTCGATCAACACATATTTTGTGAAAACAACTATGACCTCCCTGTGAATGTGTCATAAAAGGTACGTGTGGGTACTCTGCCCTGGCATTACAGCTCTATTTCTTCATAACGACGGCAAGATATGAGGTTTTATTATTATCGCACTATAGAATATACCAACAAGTGAATACAAACAAATATCAATATCAGTGTGGGAAACCGGGGATTTAAATTTTGGATAAACAATATCGAGATGCTCTAATCTACTGAAGGCATATTATTGCAAATTGCTGCTTGTTGCTGTGATTGTACATGGTTGCTCGTATAATAAGTCATAGATATGTATGTCCAATCTGATTGTGCGTTATCACGTGTCGGGTATGTTTCCATCTTGCGATGTACGTCTGGGGTATATACGTTCACACAAGACCGGGTAAGGGTAATAGGGACATAAATTATATGAAAATTCATGTTTTTATTGCGATATTACACGATAAATAACGGTGTATCTTGTTATTGTATTACCCTAATAGTTGCTCCTGATCCGTTGGATGTATTAGAATGTGTCTCTGTGCAACACTGAACATCGCTGATATAAATATGATTGTTAATTTTGTAATAAAGCACTTTTTCATTTTATTTTAATATATTTTTTTGGACTTAATGTTTATATTTTTACAGAAAAATCAATAATAAAATTGTCGTATTATATTCATGACAAATATCAGTCATATGTTGTGTAAAATCTGCCAGAACACTTAACATATGGAATGTTAGACATTTGGAATTCATGACGTGGAAACTCCCAAATACACTTTTATGTCTTCGTGTTGCCTCGTCATTCTAATGCCTGACATACATATTTATGGCGTATTGCCATCCAGTGCCACAACAGTTCACATATACGTGATGGGCCAACGTGTCGCTCCTAATCTGTCTTGTTAAAGCGGTAGGGTCGTCGCCTGCGCACGCGCGGGAATTGAGTTTCAAACGAGGATAACAACACACAGGCTCGTGGGTAGACGCTTGTTTGTAAACAATGACACGCTATGGCCATCTGACGCATGCGCAGGTGACGACTCACCTGCTTTAATACAATTATTTATGTCATTGGGTGCGCATTTTCACGTCTAATTTATCCACCCATTTTATTGTGGAACGCTACTCAGAGGAACAAAATCTGTATTTTTTTTCGTTTTTACATTCGACATTTCATATTACAAGAAATGAAATAAAAATATGTTATCACCGTATTCAGTTCAGAGAAATGTGCTGTACATGTTCTGCCATGTCATGCATAGACACAAAATCATACAGACGTCATCACGTTCGAAACGTAATCCTGTGTCTTACAAACAAGCACTTTACTGAAACATCACATTCCGTATTTGGTTTATTGTGTTAACTTTAACAGACTCGGGAGCCTTGTCCCAGTTTGCTTGGCACTACCATTAATACTAAAAGCAATACGGTGTTTTTCTGGTAAACTGCTTATAGGACATAATCCAAGTTGACCAATGAGATCATGCATTTCGTGTCATGTGACATTTCATGGCTTGGTCAAGCGAATCACCATTTAATTAGTGGAAATTGAGAGACACGAGAGAAATGACTCGACTGGGACACTACTTTGAAGCTAGTCGTCAGATCCAGCTTAGAACAAAACATACAAGATTACAAATATACAAGTCAGAAAAAAATTGTGTGGTTATCGAAAATGATGGAGGACTTTTCAAGCCATGTATTCATGGCTACCATTAGAAATAGTATGTGAAACAGTTCATCCATATTACAAACATTACGAATTTAATATTAATAATTTAATGTATTTATCACTTTTCAGGGTAAAAATATTACCTTTATATAAAATATTCCCGCGAAACCATGTATTACATTTAATTTTTTTATATAAAAGTTGAACAGCCATTGGGAACTCGAAAGTCAGGAACTGAAAAACTGATGAAAGTTTCTTATGTTTCCATGGTAACAATGCCAAATACGACGTTATAAAACCATGATATAAATATTCGTATTATCCAGGTGTACAAGTTTTGTCGTTGGGCTTTGTTTTGCATTTGAGTGTCATGCCGTGCGATTATCTTAACGATCTGCATTAACATCATAATCAGAATAGCAATTAACTAGGTAATTATTAGATAAGCAACATAAATTCCGATGTTGGGAGAGTAAATTGCGTTTAGAAGTGTAATCCCCCAAAATGGAACAATAATATAACAAAATGCACACTCCACTTTTCAGAGTTTACTAATTCGAAAGACAATTTCCGTGCATAGTATCATTCTTTTTTAAACAAATTCTGTCAGAGTAGTGGAATACAGAAGTAACAAACTGCCATACTCAAAGTTGACCATTTATTATGAGAATAGTTACTGTAATAAGGAAATTAAATGTGAAAACAAATAGATCGTGATTGTTCTGATTATACCATGATATAATAATAGTCATTTGCAACTACAGAGGATTACTCTGACAAACTATCACTTGCATTGTACATATGTGTATAAACCTACATTGTAGTCGATGAACATGTATGCTATACGTAATTATGTAAACATCTAATTCAGATACGGAGATATGGGAATACAATGGCAGTTATTTGATAGTCAATATTGTTTTTCTATTAGCAGTTGTGTTGTCTAGTGATAGCACAATGAAATCATAATGTAGATATCAGATATTCAAGGAGGAATGTCAAATGTTATAGTAGTGGGCGGAGGCAAAGCGTAATCCAGTGTGTTGCTGAGTTCATTCTGTCGAGACACGCGTCGAAAGTATGTAATAGACATCTGATAAGTAAGTCGTGTTTAGGACGCATGATCATTATTAAAACAAAGGGTCCTAGGAATAACTAAGATGTTTCTGAAAACTCCAAAGAATGTTCTGAATTTAATAAAACTCACGAGCAGTTCATAATGTGACGTCAATTAATAAGCCATCCACACTGTATACTAAAATAATACCATCATGTTTTTGTCAATAAAAATATATAAAGTAAACAATTTCACCAAAACATGATATTACAAAATTGTTGATTGACAGCATATTTAGATTGAAAGACATATTTATCATTGAAGAACTGGTATTGCAATGATTAAGGCCTTTTCTTGGTTGATTTGTTTATTTATTCGATAAAACTAAATTTCTACAATAACTATTTGTATTAAAACTAATTTTGTACTTTTCTGAATCTGCATTACATTTTCTTTTTATTGTGTAAAATTGTTGATATCCTGGAACATGGAACATATAATAAAAATGGGTCTAAATTATCTGAATATGTGACCTAATTTATGCATTTGCATAATTATTAACATCACTCAACAAGTGTACACATATTTTGTGAAATACCCTACACCAGTCTGTACATGTGACAGAACAGTAATCCACTGATTTCATTATTCCGTAGAGCCATTAGCATTATAGACACAAAATTGCGAAAAATCAAAATATAAGTCAGCGTCGCGCATGCTTATTTTACATACTCGGTAATATAATGTGTCTCAGATAAATTTAATAACGTGGATGGAATGAAAAAAATGGCGTTGTTACGTTAAACAAAGTAAAATCGAATGAATTTTAGTGTGTTTTTTTCTAATTCTATCGAAGTTTTGAATTTGATTGACAATACTCATTTTGTAGTCTTTTAGGAGAAACTTTAATGAAATTAAATAAATATTCCAAAAATATAAATTTATGGAGCGAATCAAGTTAAGACATAATCTTTAGGAACTTCAATTACATACCATATACAAGTAAGAAGTAAAATGTCATCTTCAATGAGAAACATAGGTTTGAATAAAAGTGTCAGCGAGCATGGAACTCAGTTTAATTTAAACTTAATTTTAATGTAGTGATTACAATTTAATAGTATGTTTAAAAATGAACTGCATATTGTGGAAACCATCGAACCTGCTGCAATTTGTACTAGATTTTTATAAATTGACTCTAATATCTAGTTTCCAAGGGCATCATAAGATTCTTGATAAACATTCTATCGATGACATCAATATCACATGATATTTGCTACAGACGATAAAATCTAAGGAATAAATTTGTGGCTGCCAGTTCAAACCATCTCTTTCTACCTTGTGGTTCACATATTTTTCAGTAATTTGTCTATCGAAGTGTTCATAGTGTTCAATGTCACTTGCTTTGTTATTTTGTTCGCGAACTGGTTCGATTATTAGGTCCGAAGTTTTTAATTTTACCGGGAAGTAGATCCATTGCTCTCACGAAATATATTTTCATTTAAATACAACAAATTCTACGTTTTCTAATTGTGATGCACAATAAAACAATTGCCGAGTTGAAACATTGAGTGCCACGCAGAATTTTCTTTGTGCATTATTAGGCTGACATGTAAAAGTATGTAGTCTATGATAGGTTATTACAATTATTTCATGTCTTGGGGGATTTGAGTCATTTATTTTTATTTCACATATTTATCTTGTCTGGGTGAGGGAAAATATACTTCGTGGAGTTTAATAAATATACAAATGAGGTAATTCATATCTTGATCAAATATAGATGCACATATCTGTCCCTATTATTTAACTTTTAAACTGAAAACAATATGACCGTATCGCCCGATTGACATACATGTTGAAACGGTTGCCATTGAAATATGTAAAAAAAGGTCCCCTACCGTCATTTACACCAGGCACAACCTTCATGTTTTATCATCTTCGCCATATATGATAATATCATGTTTAAAAAGAGATGTTATGTTGTTCTAATGCGGGGAGAGGTAAGTGCTCTTAAGTCTAACTAGAGGGTCTATATTTTAGACACTCTTGACATCAAGAAACCAGAAACTATTCTATACAAAGTAACTCTAACAGATTTATAGAAAACCATCCTGTTTCACTATATAGTCATAACAGCTGTATAGATAGTTTTTCTCGTTCGAAACCTTTCAGAATCATTTCGGGAAATATCGTCTTTTCGCGCCAATCATACAATGCCTTGTGATATATATGGAAATCCTGCAAAGATACTAGTGAAATCACGGCCTGTATTGCAGCTATGAATAGAAATCACAGAGTCAGACCAAACTGTCGAAAAATTAATAATTACAGAGTTGGTAGTGCCTATGTGTACAGAGGGTTTACCGATTGTGGTAAACTGGCCACTAAAGAGAAAGGTTCCTACTACAGCATGTTCAGATGTTTATCACATTTTCAGTCCATCCATATGATTTAATCTGTTTACGCAATTGTTAACATCATAAACATAGTAATTAATATACACAAAATTACCAGAATCAAATTTCAAATTTATTAAAGCATGTACAAACTAGAAAGGCAAATGGTGACAGCACTTGTGTTGGTGAAGGAGCGAAGTTGAGGTGTTCTTATAGGAGCTTTGGTTATATGACATTGACAAAAAAAGACTTCTAAATACTAAAGAATGCATTTTAACTATAATTA